CCAGTAAAGTATTGCTAGGGTGCCAATAGATGGTCTAGGATACTTGATAGAGTTCCTCTGTGGATGCGTCTAGTGTAGACCGTTCCGTATATGTAAATACAAGAGAGGTAGAGGCGACTAATGGTATAGTATGAAAGTTCAGGGTGTGATAGGTAACAAAAAGTAAAGAACTCACATTCAGGAGAGCTATGGCCAGCTCTGGTGTGGATTGTGTACAGCGGTATAATCCCCGCTTATGGGATATGTAGGGAGGGGTCTCCGTCAGCACCGTCTGGTAGTCCAGAGCTCGAAAAAGAAAGACAGAAAGCAACAATAGTGCTCTCAATTTTGATGTGGTTCAATGTGCAGGTAAGAAGAGGTAAAAAACTCACATTTGAGGGAGCTATGGCCAGCTCTGGTGTGGATAGCGTACAGCGGTATAATCCCCGCTTATAGGATATGTAGCGGCGATACGTCCGTCAGCACCGTCTGGTGATCCAAGGCTCCAATATAGAAGAATAAAAAGCAGCAATAGTGCTCTCAATTGTGATAGGTTAAGAGAGTAGTAGAGAAAATAAAATAATACTCACAAAGATAGAGCAGAGGTACTGCTCTATGGATAGGCGCCGGTGGTATGATCCCCACCTAGGATTTCTTGGAGTACTGGAACTTTAAAATTGCCAATGGAAGTAAAAGTAACCAGGAAAGGTTAAAATGCCAGGAATAGGTAAAAACAAAAGTTGTTTAAAGTGCATAAAGAGTGCAATAAAAAGAGGATTGGTACAATAAAGTAGCCAAAAAACTTTTATTGATCTAAAATACACAGTAAAATACAGAATTAATAACCATAAACGCGTTTCACCATAAGTGGCGTCTACACCAGACGCATCCACAGAGGAACTCTATCAAGTATCCTAGACCATCTATTGGCACCCTAGCAATACTTTACTGGACTATCTACCCTTATTTGGCGCAGCCCTTCCATATCTTTTTGTATCTATCCACCGAAGGACCCGAGGGGTTTTCCTTCATTTGGGTTGCTGCCTACCTTGACTAATTTTGTGATTACTAGCGCTGAATTCTTTTTGTGTTTATCACAGGCTATTTACCTAAGGTTATTTTGCCACTTTTTACATAGCCATTTCACCGCCAATCTCTGCTAAATATTGGAGTAAAATTGTGGTTTTTCTCTGTTTTGGTATATACACACACACATAACAAGATTTTTGTAATGTGTATTTCGTATCCCTGTACAGAACCCCATATTGTGTTCAGCTACGATACCCCCATTGTATACCTTTGCCCCTATTCTGTGAAGCTACAATGCCATATAGGAGACCATGCTATTTCAGTTTCTATAGTTGGAATTTTCATAGATGGTCATATGTCTGAATTTGTGGCATTATAGCCATTTGACTGCTCAAATAACATAGCCATTTGACTGTTCAGATAACAAAGGCCTTCGATTTGAGAAAGCAGACACCCCAGGATATCTTATTAGGCATATATTATACCTTTACTTGCCACCATTTTTTCACCATTTTATTTCAAATTTTGTGGTGAGGAAAAAAACATACATGTTGCATTTTTGCTGGGTATTTCATACATTTGATAAGTGCCACTGTCATAAATTTTCCCTAAGTATACTCCGTTACCTCTTCTCAGTAAAACAATAAGTCCAATGTATGACCTAGACACTATTTTGTGAAGTTACAGTGCTGTAAAAGAGACGTGACAAGTTCAGGTTTTTAATTGAATTTACATGGAGGGTTTTAATTGGTCCGTATTCTATTTTGAAATGTGTTAGCAGGCTGCTTTTTCCAACTACCCCAAAAAGCATACTATTTCTTAAATAAAACACCTGAGGATATTTCAAAAGGCAAATTTTGTACCTTAGCATAGGATCATTTTTCCGCTAGCTTGTATCAAGTGTAGTGGTAAAAAGCATTTTTTATTCTGCCTTTTTGACACACAGAGTTTGCACTGTATATTTTGCAAGCCTTATGTATGCTACGGCTTTATAATACTTCATATGTTGCTCAGCTATGTTGTCTGAGTACAGCAATACCCCCATATGTATCCTTGCCAGGTATATGTGGACACCGAAGGGGGCACATTTCAGACACCGCCATTGCAGGTTTTTTTTCAAACTTTGAATTTTTACGCTGGGTCCATACCCCACTTTGGAGTTTTTTTTAGTAGGTTAACTATTCCAACTACCCCATAAAGGCATACCATTTCTTAAAGACACCCTAGGGTATTTAAAAAGACATATTTTGAACCTTAGCGTGAAATAATTTTTCCGCTAGCTAATACCAAGTGTAGTGGTAATTTTTTTATGCCTTTTTGACACACATAGTTTGCAAACCGTATGTGTGCTACAGCAGTATAATACATCATATGTTGCTCAGCTATGTCATCTGAGTACAGCAATACCCCCATATGTACCTTCATGTGTGGTATCATTTTTTTGCTAGCCTGTACAAAGTGTAGAGGTAATACGCATTTTTTCCATTTTTAAACATTTTATTTAACTTTTAAAAAGTTTTTTTTTTTTATCTTTTAATAACTTATTTTACTATTTTAAAACTTTGTTTAAACTTTTAAAAAGTTTCTTCACTCTTTAATTTTTTTATTTATTTTTTACTGTTAATCCCTAACTAGCCTAATGGTAAATCCCCCAATTTACCCACTAACATCTACCCACCCTAGCTAAATAAAAAAATATTTTAGAAATATTTAAGTAGTGAACTAAATAAATTTAACCCCTGAGGATTAAATAAAATAAAGGTTAACCCTCAGGGGTTAAAAGAAGAGATCACATTGCAATACTGTTATCTGTATTTTGATCACTGCAGACAAAGGGCTGGGAAGGGGTTCAATTTTATTTGAAAGAGGTGAGTGGAGGTGGGATTTTGTTACTAACACTTTTTTTTTTTCTTTTACAGCCAGAGATAGATCAGCACTGATCTGTCTTTCTACACTTCACAGCTCACACGGAGCTGCAGGGAGACAGATCCGGTTTCACTGCAGCACGTGTGATCGCTCTGACTCCCGGTTAGAGCAATCACATGGGCTGTGAAAGTGAAACTGCCCATAGTAGTGTGCCTAATTTAAAGGGTTATTCTAAGCACCACCGGAATTATGCATTATTGGGAATCATAGGTGACAACAGTCCTGAATTAGGGATTATTCTAGTTTACAGTGAACGAATAATCTAAATTTTATTAAAGACAGGAGGCGAGTATTTGCTTATCTTTACTGAAAGTCCCAGCAGCAAAGAAGTAGTTAACAAAGGTTGTAAAACTGCATCCAAAAATAACACGGAATATAGTGCCATCAGACTCCTCACACTTCCTCTTTCTTGATGGTGCTGATCAGCAGTAGAATCAACCATCTAAATTTGAACAAATCCGATACCGCAGCTCTGGTATATCATAATGAAGTCAACCATGTAAACAAATTGATCAACGCAATATTTTCACACTAGGAGAGAAGAGAAAACTTCATGAAAGTATGGTCTCTTAGACAAGAGAAAAAACAGAATGCACAAGTAACAGAATTAACATATCTTGAAAGATATAATGATAATGAATGACAATAAATGTGATGTAGGACTAGGTCACTAGGCAAGTAAAATTGTATAATTACAACAAGCAAATTGCGAGGGAGTGTACAATGCAATATTAGTTGAGAAAAAACTTACCCTAAAGGGTGGGATTCAGAGTGTACAAAGGGAGGGAAAATATTCACCTCCTGTCTTTAATAAAATTTAGATTATTCCTTCACTGTAAACTAGAATAATCCCTAATTTTATGGCAAGACAGGAGGCTTCATATTTGCGGTTTTAATGCTCCGCTATAATAGAAAAAGTCGCATGTGGTGTAGGTTTAAAATAAAAAGTTTGAAAGGTAGATTCTCTTGACCAGTCCACGGAGGATAGGATATTCGCCAGCGAGCTGCCTGCACGAAGAGCAGAGGATGCGACCGCACCCCTGATGGAGTGAGCACCGAAGGACTGGTCAATTTCTGCTTGAGTGAGCAGCCATCTTATCCAGCATGCAATCGTGGGAGAAGAGACCAGTTTGTGAGGTCTGACATAGGAGACAAAGAGAGGTCCAGTATGGGGATGTAGAGTGGTAGTGCACTCAATGTAACAATGGGTATACAGGGCAACCCAGAGGGATGATCTGTCCAGAAAGTATAGGTAAAAATCTGAGGGGGAATTAGTCTTAGTACGTCTAGTAATAGTAAACCTGACTCCGTCTGGTGCGAAGGCCACAGCATGAAAGTCGAAGGCCTGAACGTCTGAAACTCTGCGGAAAGACACAAAAGCATGTCCAATTTAACAGAAAGTTGGCGTAGGGATAAGGCCTCGTTAGAAGGCCAGGATTCCAACAGCGTAAAAACCCTATAAACGTCCCAGAACATATAATACCTGGCAGTAGGGGGTCTCGTCAAACGTATGCCCCGTAGAAGTCTGCACATGGAAGGGTTTTCCCTTGTGGCGAAACAGACCTCGCCACTGGGCATTGGAGAAGACTAATTGCCAGCCTCCTGCCATGTGACTATGGCCCCTGGGATGTATTGCCCTTTAAAGACATGATTTGGGCATAATGGATTTGTGTTGTGCTGCTGCTGGCCCTTTAAGAACCATCTGGGGACATACTGTGGAGTTACTGTGTGGCCACCATTTCCTGTATCAGAAGCACATGGTGAGAACAATGGATGGCGGCCATTTTAACACACAGACACTGTTTGGACTTTTCAACACGGTGCCATTTCGCCAGTATTTGGTGCACAGAGACATCGTGCAGTGGTTTTGGACTATACATTATACAGTGATTGTTTTTCATTTAGCCTGTATATGTTCTGCAGAATCTGCATTAAACTGTATCTTTTTATGGGGTTATTGCATGTTTTGGGGTCCCTGTGATGTGTTTTATGAAACTGTATTTCTCTTTCTGTGATAATTAGATTACCCATTATGTTCAGTAATCATATCAAAGGCAGAGGGGAGGATTTTGTGTGGGAGTGTCTGAGTGTATTGTACGTGTTATTGGTTGTTCTGTAAAACCCTGTGGGTGTAACGTGAATATACCCCAACACGCAGGATTCAGCTAAACAGAGACAACACAGAGGAGAGATACGTCTACCGGACCTTAGAATAGCCGGACTCGACGTATATGAGAGGAGGCAGAGTCAGGAACGATCCGAAGTCAAGGGCACAGAGAGACAGCGTAAACTAGGACAAGCCGGGGTCTGGTACACAGTAAACAGTAAGCCAACAACCAGAACAGATAAGGATAAAAAGAAAACGTAGTCAGAAACAAAGCCAAAGTCAATACGGAGAAATACAAGTGAACACAACAAGCGCTAAAGGGAACTGATACAGAAACCACGATAGGGCAGGGAGTAAAGGGAGAGGTAAGCTTAAATAGCCTCTCTACTAATGTGATTGGGTCCTGTCATATCCACACCCCCAAAAGGTAAGTGTATGGGGAGTGTCGCATGACAGGGGCCAATGGGAGCCTTTTAACAATTTAGGCTCCCACTGTCTCTTTAAGAGCGCGCCCGAGACTCGCGGCGCTCTCTTAGATTCAGGCGGGACACGTGACCGCTTCTCGCGGTCACTGCCCGCCTTTCTAGTGAGGCTGTTGGATGAGCCGCGCGCGGCTCGAAGAGTGGACCGCGGCCGGCCCCTGGAGAAGGTGAGTAACGCTACAGTGGGCAGTACTAAGTTTGTGGATTGGGAATAAAAGAGGCTGTATGTGCCAGTCCAGTCAGTTCCTGCTTAACCCTCAAAGTGAAGTGTTGTCTCATTATTGGGGGAGGATTTATTGTATGCTGTTCCAGTTTGACTGCTAGGAGTGTAAACCTATTCGCATGGTTTTTCCTATTCGGCTGTTTACAACATTCATATGCTTGAGAGCATTCATATGCTCCTACGGTTCGGTGGTTTTGGTGCCTGCTGCAGTGCTTGGAGTCCTCAGGAAGCGCTAGGAGCATCCTTCAACGGAGGTACCCAGTCGGGGTGCCAGGTGATCCGTTACATCCCTACCAATGAATTATCGATAATATTATGGGCCGCCGAAATGGCGGATCGAAAAACATTAATCGATCGATAGGATTTGCCTTGATCGAAGAAAGAGGATAAATTTAAAATGGATGGAAGAGGTGTTGAAACGTGTCGATATCCCTTTCCAGACACCAGCTGACCCAAATCCGCCATGCGGAGAGATAGGTTTGTCTGGTTCCCGGGGCCCATGAGTCCCATAGGAGTGTTTTGAGCTGTGCGTGAAAGTCCTGCGACATGCCAAGCTCCCCTGAAACTGTCCAAGCTACCAGTTGAAGATGACCCTGTAGGGCGAGTAGATGGTAATCGCCCGCTGGGTTCCTGAGAACCCGAATGGATCGAGGTAGTAGGATGGGGTAATCCACAGATAGTTCCAGGAGGGTGGGGAGCCAAGTCTGGGCTCTCCATAGAGGAATTATTATTACTATCCTGACTCCCTGAGCTTTGACCCAGTGAAGGGTCCGTAGAATCATCGAGAAAGGAGGGAACGCATAAACAACTCTCCTTTGCAATGGTTGCAGAAAAGCATCGACTGCCAGGAATAGGGCATCTGGGAGCCTGCTGAAGAAATAGTCAGTCTGACGATTCAGACGAGACGTGAAAAGGTCTAATGTGAGGGGTCCCCCGTAGTAGATTCACATAACGTACCGCTGAGCTCTGGTCCATCCGTAATACCAGCGAGCAATTGGAAGCATCCTTCGCAAAGCTGCGGATCGCAAAGGATCCTGCAATGAGCTTGAGGCAATTTATGTGGATTGCTCGCTCTGATGGGGACCAGAGACCCCTTGTTGAAATTTTGGAACAAGTAGCGCCCCAACCTAAGAGGCTGGCGTCGGATTCCAGGATAAAGTCTGGTTGGGATCCGAAGATCGCTTTCCCATTCCAAGCTTCCATATTGCGAAGCCACCAGCGGAGTTCGATGTGGACCTAGTCTGTCAGAAATATGAATTAGTCGTAAGAGGTGGAGCGATGCAAGTAGAAAGTTTTCAATCGTTGCATTGCTCAGTAGTGTAAAGGCCCCAGGAATATAGCCTCGTTGATGCGGACAAAAGTCCAATAAGGTGTGCAAGGTCGCGTAGGCGAGGTTGTTGCGTGGATAGTAATTTTTTAAATTTCTTTTATGTTTTTGATTTTGGGCAGTTTTAGAGTTGCCTGTACGGAATCTATTTGAAATCCCAGAAACTTAACTATTTCAGAATTCTGGAAGTTTATGACAAAACCAAGGTTTTGAAGGAGGACAGAGGTCATTTACGTGTGCTTGTGAAGCAGATGTTGGTCTTGGGATGTTGTCTAGATATATGATGGAACGTACTCCTTGAGAGCGGAGCAGCGCCATGACCGGTTTGATTAACTTGGTGAAACACCAAGGAGCGGATCAAAGGCCGAAAGGAAGACAGGTGAATTGCCAAATTTTGCCTTGCCAGAGAAATTGAAGGAAGGCACAATGGCTTGGTGCGACTGTGACCATGAAATAGGCATCCTTGAGGTTGAATCTGGAGAACCAGTCTCCCACGCAAAGTAGTTCCCTGAGAAGATGGATACCTTCCATCTTGAAATGACGGTATGTGATAAGTTGATTCAGATTTTTGAGATTGATGATAGGACGGTGGTCTCCCGTCTTTTTCCATACATGGAAAATGTTGCTGAGGAAGGTGCAAGGGAAAGGCGATTGTTTGATCGCCCCTTTGTCCTGTTTGTGTAACTCTGAGTTTAAGGTTAGCTCGTCTGTTACGACATCCAGAGAGGTGTCGGAGGAAAGCATTGTATGGGGTGTGTGAGGAAATCTATTTTGAAACCCCTGACCGTATGAAGGATCCAGTGATCCTGAGAAAGTAGTTTCCACTGTTGGGGGGAAAAAAGTGTTAATCAACCTGCAATTGGTAAATTTTTTATATACGTAAGGTTCATTACCTGAAGCAGGGCATCTGCGCAGGGAGGCAGAACCACATCCTCGAATAGATCCTCTGGTGTTGAATAACTGCCTGCAATAGGGTCAAGTGGGTCCTGAGGACCAATAGTCTGTGGGGTGAGGTCTGTGAAGGCTGCTATACTGGTAGCTCGGTCCCTGTAGCGACCAACTCTCCCGGAAAAACGTTGAGTTTGGGAGCGAAAGACCCTGCGTAGTGATGACTGGGCTTTATTTAAGGTGGTAAAAACAGACGTGCTTGGAGAGGTCTCGCATAAAACTGTCACAGAACAAAAGGCCATCGGCTTTGGGTCCCAATTCTTTGGAGTCTACTAGTTTGGCATCAATTTATAAAGTGCCGTCTTTCGGTAGAAATTGCCACATTGGCGTTGCCCAGGAGCATAGAGCTCTCGGAGTCCATTCTCGTACAGTGTGTGGGTCAAATTCACCACTAGTGAGTGCCTCATATGCTAAAAATTTGGATTATAGGTCCTGCAATGTCCAGAAGTTTGTCTAAATACCCTTACGAGGGTCTTTGCCGGACTTGGTTAAGAAGGTGACTAGCATGGGATCAAATTCTGGAGTGGAGGCAACTTTGCCTGGGATAGTTGGCCTTGGAATTCAGCCCTAAGTTTGTTTCTAATTTCCTTCTCCAAGGGCTTGCGTAGCCACATTTTACAAAAACTGGCAATATGATCAGGAGGGGCCCATTTTGCAGATCGTGGGTGACGAATCACTCTTGGATCAAAAAATAGGAGGCCTGAAGCATCCAGGAGGGCGTCTGAAGAAGGCTCTTTAGATAGGGGATCACCCTTTAGTATAGTGAGCATGTGTAATAAAGGTCTCTTTAACAAACGCTGATGTAGAGGAATCCTGGGGCACATTCGCCTTGGGGTCCTCATCAAAGTAGATAGCATCATAATCATTTAAAATATGTCCAGCTAGTCGAGAGGTAGATCCCTCAAGAGAGTCAGTGGAATCTTGCATAGTGTGTGGCAGGGATGGCCTAAATATTTTGCAAGAGCTTTTCCCTTGCCTGCAGTAGCACTATCCCCTTTCCAGGGTCGTTTGTGCGGGGCACCTTTTAGGTCTGAAAGGTGGGCATCCTCCAAGTCAGAGGGCTGGTGTGGGGGTGAGCTTCAGAAGAAGCTTGTTCATGAAAGGCCGCTAAAGCCTTAGGTATGGACTCCACAATAGTACATGCCCTTAGTTCAGCAGATATAGCAGGCTGTTGGTGATCAGACATAATGTCTATACTTTTAAAATAATATAAAATGAAAATGAAGACAGATTCACAACTACCGTAATAGTAGATATTAATATTGCAAAAGTCAGAATTGGCAGTTGAAAAATGAGGCAACTCAGCTAGAATAATAGAATAGTGGGGGTCACCCACAATACAGTTAGTGAGGTACAATCACTGTAAGTTATAAAATGGGGGTCACCCAAAAATACAGATTGATGTAGAAAAAAAACCACTGCAAGTCATAAAAGAGGGGCACCCAAAATAACTAGAGATGGTGATTAACCACTTAGTGCAAGAAATAATAGATAATGAGGTGAGGGTCAACCACCGAATAAACACAGGTGGTAGCCACAAATATAGAGTGTATATTCAATAATAAAGTGAGGGTCACCCACAGAATAAAACAAAGGTGGTGTCAGCCACACAAATATATTTAATAAATGGGGTTAGCCACAAAATAACAGTTTGAGGGAAAGAAGTTTGAGCAGGTAGGCCTTTTTTGGATCAACCTGCAAAAGATAGAGAAATGTGTTTGTATCAGTATTTTTTGAATGGAGGATTACTGTTTGTTCGAAAAATCCAAAGATATTTTGACTGAAGAGAAAACTTACCTTCCGGTAAGGCAGAATAAGTGCCCACAGGTTTTTCCCCTAACCGGAGATAAACACCAGAAGCCGGTAGAAAAACGGGCGACAGTGGAAAAAAATGGCCACCGCGAGTAAAGGGGGGCGGCGCTATCGCGTCAGAGCCCACACTGAAGGCGGTGGAAAAGGGCGCAAAAGCACCCAATGGTCTCCTTTGGGAAATGGAGTCCGTGAATGCTCAATTGCGGTCTGAATGAAAACTGAGGGAGGGCAGGTGAAAAATCCTGCGGGAAAAAAACGGCCCGTTGGAGAAGTGTGATAATGCTAGTAAGAACAATTAAAGGCATATAGCTATGAAAAAACTTCCTGACGAGAAATGGTTCTAGAATAACATGAAGATAATATAAGAGAGAGATACCATGTATTGTAAGACATATACAAAATAATCCGGGGCGTGTCCTGGACTCCAATTATGGCGGCTGCTTAACTCCGCGGCTCCAGACCACCCAGCTAAAATTAGCACACCGAA